AGCAAGATGGCATGGTCCATGCTGTCAGGGTCCTGGCATCCGTGTCATTGCAGGGGGGTCGGGGAAGAAAGGGTAAAGAAACGTGCTATCCGGGATGGAAATGGAGCGGGAGAGGAAGGAAAATGAGTTTCCCGCCCTGTCACGAAACCAGCACAAACCAGCGCAGTCTCCGGTCTCTGTCGTCCGTCTGGCTGACCAACTCTAGGACGGATGAGCAAGCCAGCTAAATCACGATATGCGCATTAACCTCGCTCCCAACATCTCTGGGAGGTAGGTCCTGTCCTTCATAACGCCAGCCATCCTGGCCCCCCCCCCCATACCCGCCCACCCCGCACCTGGCCGCACTCCTCGTTGTAGTAGACCCCCTCCGAATAGAACCTGAACGGCGCCAAGGCCGCGTTCATAAGCACCGCCACGGGACCATGCAGCGCCACCGCCTCCATCAGCGCCGCCTCATCGCGCGAGGGAATGTTAAGGTAACCAGAGAAGCGGGCGGACACAGGCACGGTGGCGGGGCCCCCGCGCTGGGTGACGTCGCTTGCCGCGTCGGTGCCGCTCTCACGTCGCGACAGTGATGGCCCATCCACAATCGGAACCCTGCGGGCGTGTTGGGTAAAAGCATGTGGCTGGTTTGTGTGATGGCAAGGGCGAAACCCCGCAGCTCTTCCCTTTCGTACCCCCAGCATACGCACACAGGCACGATCGAACTGCCAGTTGCCCCTGCGTGCGGTGTACTGCATGTGCTTGCTCGCTTACTTGCAGAACGAGTTCTGGGCTAAGTAAGGGTACTCCGACTCCTGAGCGATACCCCCCGCATCCACCACATACTGGAGGGTGGGCTCCACGAAACCTGCGAGGAGAGCGGGAGGGAGAGCGGGAGGGAGGCAAGGTAGGACCAGGAAAAGGTGAGGAGGCCAACCACTGACGGGATTCGGTCGTGGACAGCCAGGGAGCGCTCAGGTTCGTGGCAGAGAAAGAGGTAGGAGAGGAAGAGAGGGGGTGGGTGATGTTGGGATGCTGGGAGAGAGGGAATCTTGCGACATGGTTAGCCACATGGTTAGCACAGGCAGCCAGGCCGGTCGGTGGCGGTGGTGAGGAGGTGCGCCTCTTGCCAGTCACTCAGGGCCGCTCACTCACCACCGGCGCATCCGTCGTTTCCGTAGTCCCAGGCGCAGTCCACCAGCTGCTGCTCGCTGAAGGACAGAGCCTGACCTGAAGCCAGCAGGCGAGAAGCCGGGTGTGCCAGCGGCCAGACGAGGGGCCCATATGACGATGGCCATGTGGCGGTGGTGGTGGGTGATGGGGTGTTATAAACACATCGAAATGCGCAGGGGAGAGGAAAAGTGAATCGGGAGACAAGAGAAGTGGTAAAGGGACAACACACAGACAAACACGCACACAGCAGCAGCAGTAGCGAAAGAAAAGCGAGCAAGCAGCAGCAGCAGCTCGCCTCACCGGTTGCCTTGAACCAGGCGCCCTGCATAGCACCTGCCGCACTGAAAGCCTAAAGAGGGTCAGGTAGGCAGCGGACATACAGAGCAGCGGGTAATCAATACGTTGACAGCATGGTCTAGACAGCGCCATGGTACGGTCATACATATCAGACGATCGTACATATCATCAACGTACGACATCCATGACCATAACAACAA